GATGATGTTAACATTTTTCATCTTTAATGCAGTAACGGTAGTTAACTGTTATGAACTTCAGTTCTCTAGGTTACAAAAGTCAAATATTTTTTTATGAGAACTTTTATGTAGTTATCTTGAATTGACAAGATACTTCTGCATGAAGGAATACTAAGGATGACGCTTATTCTAACGTCTACTGGTTTGTTGTAAAGATATCAGACTCTGATGGTAACAAGTAATCGGAACAACTAGCCTATTCATGCTGTCGGGAGTGAGGACAATTGCTCACCGGTGACACTGGCTGGTGGTCGCGGTAAAATCACGAATTCATAGGAGGTAGAATTGATGGACTAGCCATTGAGTTGGGTCCCAGTGGCTAGTTGGTATACCAGCTTGCTTTGTAACCAGACAGTCTTGGGTTCTAAACCCGGGGGTGCGTACTGACGACGAGTCGCAAACCAGGACGAAACAGTTGTCCAGTACTCTAACTGATATCAGTCCGCGGTCTAACCTGTCTTGCTAAATTAGCATAAAAACGAAATGACAAAAACGATTATAATCTAACTTCATATTTATTTACTTGATTATTATATTTACGTTCAAATTTTGACCTTTGATCCTTTAGATCTAGGCCACTTGATGAGTCATTCAGTTTACACATTTTGTAGTTTTATGATTTTAACCAAACTAACATTAGTAAGTAACTATGAAATGAGTATAACGGGAGTTGTGTCCTATTGTGTTAATTTATTTGAATATGAGAATGGACGCTCACTGGTGATGTTGAATGCTGCTACCGTTCAGTTGCAATTCTGTACAGATAAGATTCTAATCCATTGAGTAAATTATAATTTCTATATGTATGTCTGAACCGAATTGACATTTAAAAGTTTGAAAAAATTTGGGCATTGGGTATATGATATTTATTATTATGAAAGTTTTTGTATTTCTCAATGAATGAAAAAAAACAATATTGATTTTACTGACATTTGGTTATTTAACACAAATAGCTTTACCAAAGCATTATTCAGACGACATCATAGTACTCAATAAGCATGAGAGTTTTCTTCAAGACATCAGATACACTGCAAAGCAACCTTATCCATATAAAAGACCGAATCCCTAAAGATTCTCTGTTTCATTGTGTCTATAAAACGAAAAGCTTCGAATGTTATGGGATATACATAGGACAAGCTTCTAGAGAAATCAAAACCAGAAGAAATGAACATCTTAGAGCATCTGTTCATCCACCGATAAATCCAGTTGAACCAGAAAAGCTTGAAAAATCATCAGCCATAGTTCGTCTACACGCTATATTATAGAATCAGGCCACAAAATTGATTTTGACATTACTGGAATAATCAAGAAAAATTTCAGAAATCACAAAGAACGTCTAAAATCAGAAGCTCTTCATATCAAGCGGAATTCAAATTGCGGGAATAGGAATGATGGATTAGAACAGAATTTGACCTGGTTACAACAGCCCCCTCTCCATGAAGTAATAAAATCAACACGAATGTGATAAGCAATTTCATAATGTAAATATACGCTGCTTTTATAATTTAACACACTTGTCAAATCCAACATTCTACGCCTGGTTTTGTTATCTTTACCAATTGGCCAACTTGACAACGTAAAAATCCCCTCATGCTGAGGAACTATGATTAAGTTGTTATATATAAGCTGAGATTTTGTAAATTCTGGTTTAATGATACTTTGATAAAGCTATTAGCAGCATTAAATAGCGAAACGTCAGTAAAACAATACCGTTTTGTTTTTCATTCATTGGGAAATACAAAACAAACCTTTATTATAATGAATATCATATACCCAATGCCCAAATTTTTCCAAACTGTTAAAAAGTGAACTTGGTTTGGACTTATATTATCAGCGTAATATTCAATCAAAATTTATAAAACTTCACTTTATACACACTAACTTAATCAATGTTCTTCAGTGTGAGGTAATTTTCACTTTGTCGAATTAACGGATTGTTAAAGATATCACAACACAGGTATAATGTTGGATTTCATAGATGCATGAAGTATTAAAACAGCATATTCTGACATATTGAAAATACTTATCATATTTGTGTTGATTTTGTCACTTCATTAAGGAGAGGAGTGCTAGAGCCAGGTCAAATTCTTTCTTAATCGGTCATTCCTATTCAAAAGAAATTTAGATTCCATTTAACGTTAGGTGTTTCCGATATGTGAGGTTCTTTGTGATATTTTAAATTTCTCTGAATGATTTCATTATTGGCAAAATCAATTTTGTAGCCTGATTCTTTAGCATGTAGAGCTAAGGCTGACTATTTATTTAGGTTTCTGTAGCTCTACTGGGTTTATCGGTGGTCGAATACAGGCTCTACAATGTTCACGTTTTCTGCTTACTTTGATTTCTGTTTAGGTAGGTCTGGTGTATGTCAAATCACCTTCCAAACAGTTTATTTTATAAACACAATTAGATTGTTACCCTTTGGAATCCAATATTTCAAATGAACGACGCTCCTTTTTAGTTTGTTTTATGTTTTAAAGAAAACTCTGGTGTTGTGTTTATTGAGTGCATTTTTAATATCGTCCGACGTATGTGATCTTTATAGAATGACACCTGTTGTGGTCCGTGTCTTCGGAATGCTTTTTTGACCATGTTTAGTGTTGGTGAGTCTGATAGAGCTAGTGGTGACTAATAATTCCATCCTGCAACAAAACAGCCAATACGATTCGTTGGTTTGCACTACTGTCTAAGTAATGTGAGTTCATGAAACATTTAACTAGAAATTAATGGGGATTCCAAAAACCTAACGCATTGGTGACACGAGGTAGAATGCTCGCCGACTACACTTCACGTGGTCCGGGGTTCGACCCCCAGCCGACGCACTCCTTTACCTCACTAAACCAGTAATAAGACTAGTAAAGAGGGAAGGTTGGGTATGAGGCTAGCAACTCCATCTCATAAAAATAAACATCACTGTTACGAAAACTTTAACCCGGTAGCTTGAAGCCCTATATTCCACTGGGAACGTATAGGAATAAAAAAACCTAACACATAGTTATCATAACAGTCTGATAATACGTAGCAAATCATTTCAAAGCAGATGAATTTTCGTATTCCAGTCATGTGACAATGAACTCGTGACTTTCAGATATATTAGGTGCAAAATGATGATGTTAACATTTTTCATCTTTAATGCAGTAACTGTAGTTAACTGTTATGAACTTCAGTTCTCTAGGTTACAAAAGTCAAATATTTTTTTATGAGAACTTTTATGTAGTTATCTTGAATTGACAAGATACTTCTGCATGAAGGAATACTAAGAATGACGCTTATTCTAACGTCTACTGGTTTGTTGTAAAGATATCAGACTCTGATGGTAACAAGTAATCGGAACAACTAGCCTATTCATGCTGTCGGGAGTGAGGACAAATGCTCACCGGTGACACTGGCTGGTGGTCGCGGTAAAATCACGAATTCATAGGAGGTAGAATTCATGAGCCATTGAATCTGGTTGGGGTGGCTAAATGGTATATCAGTATACCTTGTAATCGGAAGGTCTTGGGTTCAAACCTAAGTTGGTGGGTACCGCCGATGATTCCCAGGATGAAAAAGATCTCCAGTACTCCCTAATATTCAGTGGTTTACTAACGATGTCAATCCATGGTCAGGTTTGAAAAACAAAACATATCCCTACCAATTAACTCCTGAAATTTAAATAAAGTGAGAACAACAGTGGTTTGTGCAGAATAATATAGTATCACCATTTATTTGGCTGGCTTCTCATTGGCTGCTGACAGCCTAAATAAATTATGAGGCTTATGTACAGAAAAGTTTTAACATACTTGCAAATTAGTGAACAGTGCTCAGAAAATTATACTCATTTTTTTTGATTACAGCTCGATTCCACACTGTATGTTTGGTACAAGTATGGAATTTTCAGCATGGATATCGGTAGCCCAAATTTTGTAGGCCGACCATAGATATCGGGTGCGCGTCGGCAGGGGATCGAACCTCGGACCATGTGCATGGTCGGCGAGAGTCCTAACCACTGTGCCACCGACGCAGGGAGGTCAAGTTTAAACAAGGTAAATATACGCATACAATTGTAAAGCAGTTACATAATAAAGATAAGAGATGCATAAGATAATGAGTGACTAATAAATTAGGTAACAATGTACTGAGTTCAGCTCAAATCATAGAAACAAGAGAGAAGCTAAGTTACACTGTATCAAAGGGAGGTGTAAGGTTAAAGCCAAAGATTACATAATTAAACGGAAGAGAGAGAATAAACACACCCATTTACCAGGCAGGGAGAGAAAAGACTAATAACTGCTTCTTTCTGAACACATAAATCTGGTTTCAAGCGTTTGATAGAAAATGCTTCGGTGAACTTGAGGAGAATCGAGCTCCCTTGTCTATTGATAGCTTTAAAGGATTTTGCGATTTCCACTTCATTGTCCTTATCGAGGAGATATCTGGTAATAGGGCTATTATAAAAGTTTGTTTCCTTGAGACTCCTGAAAAGTAAATTATTACTTGTTATCAAACCAGGTAATTAATACGAAAATCCAAGTGAAAGAAAAAACCTAAGATGACGTGATTTTCTAATGTATGTGAATAATAGATCAATAGATTATAGTCCATATAATGTCTGAATCAATCGTTTTATTTTGGCAAAGCAACACAGACAAACTCAGCCATAAACGAGAGATTTGATAGGTCTTATTCATTTAAGGATATAATAATAATATAATAATAATAATTCATTTCTGTGGCTTATTTTTACATTGTATAAGCGTGGCACACTACGCCAACCATTGCCGAAGACAAGGAACCCTTACCTCACAATCAAGAAGCGAGTACAAATAAATCAAATTGATTTACGCTAACTCGTGAAAGGGATATTAGATATTGGAACCTATTTCAAACTAATATGCAACCAAAATTTGCGGGTGCGTTGATGGGATTGCGCAAAGATGCATAATTAGACCAGAGTATTCACCTTGTATCATTCACCTAAAATGGATGTACATTGTATCACTCAGTTGATCGAGGAGTTTCAAATAACCTCAGATAAACAGAATACTGATGTAGGCGATTACCTTTTGGGTGATGAATTTCCGAAGTCATGGAATATAGACAAATTGAGCCTGCCTCCGAAATCAATACCCTTACTTAAATACAAACTGATAGATGATGAAGAAAAGAGCGTTTCACTTTCCACAAGTCACATTTATGCTAATGGTCCTCTTTCAAGAAGTGATACACTGCATGCACAATTTAAATCCCTTAAATGTCTAACAAAAGGAAATTCAAAAACTGTTTATGAAGCAACTTTGAGAGTTACAACTGCAGCTGGATTCAGTTTTTCACCTGGTGACAGTATCTCCATATTTCCAGAAAACGATCCACACACTGTCTCATGGTTGTTAAACCGACTAGATTTAGACGCTCTGAAGAATGCAGATACACGTTTTATTGTAGAAGCCGTGGATGTTACAAAAGCGCGAAATCTTCCGTCTTGGTTAATTTCTGGTCGTTCAACTTCACTGAGATTTTTGTTAACATATTGCTGTGAATTGTACATACCAATAAGTCGTCGAATTTTGAGGATTTTGGCAGACTACTGTGTTAATGATGAAACTAATTCTATTAGTTTTGACAGACAACGAAACCGACTGTTAGATTTTGCAAGTCAAGAGGGAAAGAATATGTTTGAAATGTACATTGTAAAGCCACAACTCAATCTCTTGGATATTCTGTATATGTTTCCAGCTTGCCGACCACCTTTTATTCGCCTACTGGAAATTCTACCACGTCTTCAACCTCGGGCGTATACACTTATTAATTTATATGATGAATCATCATTATCCGTAGAACAAGATTTAACGTTTATTTTCACCAGAGTAGACTTTGAATATAATAACAGCAATAATAATAGCAACGATTCTGTAAGCAGATTGCGTTACCCGCATAGACATCATGGCACATGTAGTGGTTGGTTAGAAAGACAATGGCTGAATGTTAGCCAACCTGTTATTGGTGATGATGATGATGATCAACATCATCGCATGGAAGAGGAGAATACTTCCACACGCATAGGCGAACCGATTATCCAGATATATTTACGTCAAAATTTAACACAATTTTATCTACCTGCCAATGATGGTGATAACGATGCCCAACGACAGGGATTATGATTGGTGCTGGCAGTGGAATAGCACCGTTTATCAGCTTTATAAGACAACGTAAACGTGACTACAATAAGACGGGATCATCAACCAATAACTTATGGTTAATCTATGGATGTCGTTCTCCAACAACCAGCCTTCTATTCAAAGAAGAATTATCCGACGCTGTCAATTCCAAATTGTTAAGCCATTTATGCCTATGTTTCTCTAGAGATACTGTTAATTCACCAGATGACAAATATACTCTTGCTGACTTGCCATCAGTATTACGCGAACAAGCTTGTTTCCCCTTGAAATCACATTATGTTCAAGAGTGTATCTACCATTCTGACTCGTCTGAGAATACTCCATCTGAACATGCTATTGAATTAATGCATCTTGTTTATGATCACAGAGCAAAGATAATGGTTTGTGGTGATGCACGTGGTTTAGCGCCAGGTGTTTTCCAAGCTTGGATTAAGTTATTAGCTATGAAACTTCATTGGGTACAAACAAATACTTGGTGTACATATGCTGAGTTATCTAGTGAAGAATTGAAAAACGCTCAGGTGTATCTGCAAGAAATGCGTAAATCTAAACGCTATCAAGAAGATATTTGGTTGTAAATGCTGGTGGTTACTTTGTTGCTCTGTACAAATGAAAGCATAATAATAATAATAATAATTTTTTATAGATTGCTTCAATCTGTGCATATTTTTTCAATTTTCTAATGAGCCTCTCGCTATATACATCGAAAAGCTGGAGCTGTGTGTTCCAAAGAAACTAGTCCAGCCTTTACAACTATCATGGACCTAGTCCGGTATATCCCCTTATCCTTCAGTTGTTGTTTTGTTTTTGTTTTGTTCTCTGTGTGCGTAATTTTCTCTCTTTGTCTTCATTCAATTCATCCCATTTCTTTTTTCAGTTATAAAATCCGTTATTTTAAGTTTGTTTCCATGCTCCTCTTCCTGACCACACTTGTAATTTGTTTAGAATAACCATTTTACAATTATATTCTAATCCTGTGTAATTTTTTTTGTTTCTATGCCTCTTGTAATCTATCTATATTCACACCTTCTAACTTACATTTCAAGTGGAAAATTTTGATTTCAATTTGTTTCCATGCTCATTTTGTAATTTGTCCTATCCCTGCGTAACTTTTGTCTTTAAGCTTCTTGTAATTCATATCAAGTTGAAAATAATTGTCACCTTTTATTCGCCTTTACAATTATTTCTCCAGTGCGTCGGTGGCACAGTGGTTAGGACTCTCGCCGACCATGCACATGGTCCGGGGTTCGGGCCCACGTCGGCGCACACCTGATATCTATGGTTGGCCTGCAAAATTTGGGCTACCGATATCCATGCTGAAAATTCCATACTTGTACCAAAAATACAGTGTGGAATCAAGCTGTAAATCAAAAATAAAAAAATAAATAAAATAGTGTAGTGTTATTGAGAAAAGTTTTCAATGTAAATTTCAGTCTAGGAATACACTTTTGATTGATGTCGGACAACTAGACAGACTTGACAGCCAGCAATTGTTTTCTCGAAAAATACCCATTTATTCATAAGTAAAAACACAGTTTTTTGTTCAGAGAAGAAATTTCTTTTCAATGACTTCATTTTCAAGCTGTACAGTCGTATTTATTTTACAGAAAAAGGTTATCAAGTGGCACTAAATAATTGCTCAGTCAATATACGTATATATGTGATAAGAATAACTATAATTACAATGTTATAAGGGGTAGAGTTGAAGTGGATAAATTACATATATATATCGCATATATACATATCTTGACTGAGCAATTATTTAGTGCCACTTAATAACCTTTTTCTGTAATATAAATACGACTGTACAGCTTGAAAATGAAGTCATTGAAAAGAAATTTCTTCACTGAACAAAAAACTGTGTTTTTACTTATAGCAATTGTTTTATTCGAATTTTGTGTTTGATACTGTCATCAACAAGTAACACCCATAACCTGAAAACTTGTTTAATATTTAAGAATAGGCATGACACTGGTTTCTTCATAACAAGCAATCACCATATCTGATCCAATCCCATAGGATGTCTTTTACCTCCAAGAAAGTGGAAGTATAATGTCTTTGACTGAAACTCTGGGTTCAGCGGGTTTTATTCTGTGGGAAATCATCAATTTTTAAACAATGTAGGTGCGACGATCAGCAATTACAAACATAAAGCCTAAGTCTTCAGTCTGCTAAATACTACCTCCCAAAAACAATATGCAAGACGTGATATTCATTAATCTCATGTTAAGTAAAAGGATTGACTTCGCTTATCACAGGACGAGAGAAAAGGTAGTTGTGAATATGATTAACTTAAGTTGTAGTGAGACCACCAGCTCGAAACCCTACTTTCCCTTCTATTTTAATCATCATTCATTAACATCAATGAAAGCAAGGATCGGGAAAGCAAGACAAGCTTTCATTACTCTAAAGTCTGTGTGGAGATCAACAGCATTCCTCAGAATGAAAAATAAGATCCGGATTTTCAACTCTAATGTGAAGTCAGTGCTACTCACTACATGGATCAGAGACTTGACACCTCGTCACGAAAGGCACTTCGAACAAACTACAGACCATCATCAACAGCTGTACTCGCTCAATACTACTCAAGATCAGATGGCCAACCAGAAAAGATCAGCAACACGGATGGATCTCTGATAGTGAGCGAACCAACCCACCAGGAAACAGTTTTGCAAGAAATATGCAGGGAGAAATGGAGGTGGATTGGTCATACTCTGAGAAAACTGACCATCAAGTGACAACACACGCCAGGCTATCGCTCGAGTAGAACGTGAATGGGAATTGGCAAGTTGGTGTTCAGTGTGACGGTGACATGGATGATGTCATATGAAGAGGAGAGGTAAGGATGGTGGACAGACGTTTAGCCAGGTGAAAACGTTGTTGGAGAACCGAACTCAATGGAGACACGTGGCTGAAGCCCTTTGTTCCTCTAGGAACTAAAGGAAGCAATAATAATAATACATCACCATCCATAGAAGGTTTATGAAGCAGATCATGAAAACAATGAGGCCACGGATCTCTACCGTCTAATGATTCATTTGCTTAAGCATGTTATTTCGTATTGGTAAGTTTCACTAACTTTGACATGGGCAACTAAATAGTATCAATGACCTACAGACATCTACTAGAAGTCACGAACTTGATAGCTTACTTTTATTAACTAATTTATTACTTTTATTATTAATAAGCCTTCACTGGTTTATTGGTTGCTTATATTTTTGTGTCGGATGTCACATAAACTCGAATATCATTAGATGAAGGCTAACGCGATGGCAGGACAAACAGCAAAGACAGAACTTCAAGTGAACATACAGAACAGAGGGGTAATGGAAACACCCAGCCGACAATAAGCATCAATTACCATCAATTTGAAAGAAGTCACTTCTTCAATTTTTCTATTAAGCTTCATTTCAACCAAAGGCTGTCATATTCAGGTAGGATCGGAAAAGCAAGACAAACATGTATCAATCTGAAGTCTACTGCATTAAGCATACAGAACGAGGCTTAGATTTTCACTACTAATGTCAAGTCATTGACATCAAATGTTAGAAGACCGCTCTAAATGAACCCGAATGGGAAACGATGAGTTCGGGAAAGGGTTCGTGGGTGACATGGAGGAGCTCCTGTGAGAAGGATTTGAAAGCCTATTGAAGACCGTGGGGTCAGCTAAAGACGATTTCACAGAACAGGATTAAATGGGGATGTGCTATTAAAGCCCCATTTTTCACTCGGAGCCTAAGGGAATAATAATAATAATATGTTAAAAAGTGACGCTAGGTTTCTCAGTTCACCACAAGTCTTCAGTCAATGTAAATCAAAAAGATAGACTCTTTCAACAACTTACGTCATAGCAGTATGCTAAGTAGGATTTTGAAAATATCAAGAAATGTCGATAGCAGTCAAAATCTTCATTATTAATAAAATACGTCGAAAAATAATATCGTAAAACGTTAACAGCAAGTTATGAATTCCAGTCATATATTCCAAGTAAATCTAAATGATTTTAAGTATTACATAACCGATGGTCAACAAACTAAAGAACCGTAGCGATGAAGCAACATCAGAAAAAAGGAACTGAATAAGACATTTCTGTACACACACACACACACAACCAAAGATTGTTTTCTATGCTTGAAAGAGAATTTCACTGTACGTTGAATATGTAGCTCAGATCATTTTAATTAGCTTAGGCTGATCTTATGGATTAATATGAAGAAATCGTTAACTGGTACTGTGACTAAGGACAAAACTATGTTTGAGAGTCAGACTAGTTATCTCTTTGACATTCTCATTTTCATTAGCACATTTAGACAATATCTCAATTATAATGACTTATGTTTATAGCTCTATAGAAGTAATGAGAGTGATTCATGCTATAAATATCAGCATATTGTTTTAATTGAATTTTTGATTTTCCCATCGATTGATTGAACCGAAGTGCTCGGTCTCAGATTGACATGTCTGTTGGCTTCTTGTGCAAATGCTTCGACGATGTCGGTGGAAACATCATCACTTACTGAGAAATGCAGATACATCCAGCTGACGCGTCCCAAATAGGATGAAATGTGCATCCTTGATTCCACTGCTAGTCACCGTCCACCAGAGTGTTTTGTTTGGTTTCTTGATAGAACGATAGATATAAAGATGGGGAAATATGTTTTCTTCAAACTACTTTTTAAAAAACGATTTTGAATAACTGTATTAATCGTCCCACTCTTGAAGTTCAGGTTTATTGATGAATGTTTCTTCTTCTCCGTTGGATGACACAATTCATATCATTCATCAAGCACTGAAGACTGATAGTTGGAATTTCGGAAATATGTTACTTTCTATTCTGATTTCCTTTCAACTAATATCTAGTCATATAACATCTCTGAAAATGTGAATAAATGATGCTTTGGGGGGGGGAGCTGGGGATGCCCACTTCATTTTAGTAAAAATACTTTACTAGTGTCCAGTTGAATTAGGCTTTATGCAATGGTTTTATGCAGATTGTGCCCCCGTGTAGAGTGATTTAAAAAAAATAAAAAACGCTATCAACCGTAAACTGAGCCAACTGAAAGGATACGTGTATTTTACAATGCAACAAAGTGTCACTCATGGACAACTGATGTCGCCAATTTGCTAAGTTGTCACTTAGTAACAGAAGGGACAGTACCAGCTGGTAGATATAATCCTATCGATATATTTGAACCTACATTTCTATGTCTTATGACAGATATCTTTATGAGTAATCATTCGGTGTTATTTTGTTCATAGGTATGTGGATAGAAACAGTAGAAAAGACAGAAAACTGATGATAATAACAACAGTAAAGAAAATCAATTTATTCAGGTATTAGTTTGCAGGGATTTTGTTTGATTGGTTGAAGGATTTCATTATGAGCTGTTATTAGTTAGAGAACCATTGGAAAACAAGCAGGGAGTAGTGTACAGCTGTTTCGTCCTAGTTTGGGACTAATCATCAGTACACACCCACCATCACCGTTCGAACCCAGGGCGAGCACGTGGACCGTTACGCCACTGGGACCCGATCCAATGGCCTTTTCATGAATTCCAACTTCTGCCATTTTACCACC